ACCTGTTTTCACTGTAACATTGTGAAGTATTATGTGTAGATTGATGAGGAAAAAAATGAATTGAATCAATTCTGAGATGAGTCTACAACATAACAAAATGTGGGAAACTTGAAAGGGTCTGAAAACTTTCCCTGTATAATCTTAACATGATACAATGCCTGTAGGTGTTAAGACCAATCTGTCTTTAACTAATGGGTATTCTGGACTCAAGTAACAGAAATCAATCACCAGGGTAAGTATTTTATTATACAGAATAGTTTCAGTTATACCAAGTAGGTAGGTAGTTGCTGACAATACTCGGAAGCTGACAAGCCATCGAGGAGATCTAGGGAATCCTCTCGTCTGCCCAGGGCTGGGAGAGAGTAGCAACAGGCCAAGAGTCTGAGTCACACCAGGCAGAAAGTTGGCAGAGAGCAGGACTAATGGTTGCAGGCTTGGAGCTAGAAGTTGATGAAAGGCAGCAGGGACTGAGTAGGAGTCACTTGGTTCAGGCAGATGAGCAGGCTGAGAGCTGGAGCGGTGCTGACTGGTGCTGAGCGGGAGAAGCAGCAGGAGCAGAGTCAGGGCAGGAGTCCCAGAAGTGAGTCACTGGTCAGGGCTTGAGCTGGAGGCGAATCTACAACACCACTCTGGAGAATCTTATCGGGCTGTAGAGATTGAATGGAGAAATACAGAAGAAAGAAACAGCAGGTCGCAGGCACAAACAAGTCTGGAACCCAAGAGATCGTCAGGTCAGGCAGGAGAGAAAATACTGTATTTTGCCAACGCAGGAGACATTTGGCCAAATGCTGCAGAGCTGCAGAACTGACTGGCAAAGAATAGGCAGCAGAGCCTAGGCTAAATACCAAGTGGCTTAGTAGACGATAGGTAACAGCTGCGTCAATGAACCGCTAGGCTGAGGACAGAAAACTGGCCATGCCCAGTCAGCTCGACAGCAACCACAAGGAGAAGACAGATAGAGACCTGCAGGTGACCTGACAGTAGGAGGAGCAGCCAGGGCGGTTATACTTGATCATGCTACCTTACAGGCAAGGGATCATCATCCCTGAAGACCAGAAGGCCAGAATGGCTGATGATTATATTGGTGAGAAACAATGAAAAAAAGTCAATTAAAATATATACATTGTTTCCAAAATAATGTCAAGCAAAGAGAAAACAAAGCAAAGACTTGACCAACACAATTTCATGAAACAGTAACGTGCCATGCAACAAATGACCTAGCTGGTTAGAAAAACAGTCTGGACACTAATTCTAAAGTTAGATATGCAGATTTTGTGGGCAAATATTAGTTTGGCACATCACTGTGAGGACATTTTAGGCAGTTCAAACACCTTCACTGAGCTGTTCAAGGTTTAAACTTTGTTTTAGAGTTAAGGCTAGAATTATGTTTAGATTAGGTTAACAGTTGGAATTAAGCATTTAGCTGTGATGGTTAAGGTTAGGGTAAGGGGATATAGGAAATGTACTACGTGTGTGATTAAGTTTTCCTGCCAAGTATCATAGCTGTTTTTATGCCACATCTACACACCTTGGCCACTATAGTGAATTTGGTATGTGATGAATCACTATTGTGTTGGATAAATCAGAAATAGTGGCAAGGTGATTAACTTAGTTTATAAAAATACTTCAAAGCAGCTGTTTATAATATGTCAGTGATGATGGGTTGATCATTTCACTTGAGAATTTTGTGGTAACATGTTCTGAGTATTTTTCCAATGGATACCCAGTCAAGACCATTTATTTATCATGACACAGTTCATGTGGTCGTTACAGTACACTTTTTTTTTTTAACTCCAAATCTCCTCAGCATCTTTTTCTCTGCTTGGCTTTTCTATCATATTTGGAAAGGTTGTTATGTGTGTATTATAAACATCTAAAAAAGATTCAACTTTCCAAATCATGTCTAAATTGTGGCATTTTACAATTGGCTGTAACAGTAGCCATCATCAACTTCTGCCTCAGGCCTACAGATGTCAGCAACAGAGCAGGAATTTGTGTTCGGCAGCGCCATGGAAAGAGCTAAGACAGTAATCTTGCTCCTGGAGGTGCTATTGCACTACAGACTGAGAAGAACCACTTCACTTGTGTTACGTATATACCTCATATAGCAAAATCAACTAGATGAAATTAATTGCTGTGTGGCAGCAAACTAGAAATTGACCAAGAACAAAACCATATCACTTTACAGCTTTTAAAAGCATGTAATGGTACAAAATCAAACCCAGAGCAAATTTTCCTGAATAGTGGAGGGAGACACTTACCACACATTGGGTGGTAATTATGCTTGTGATGACCGGTAGCAGATGCTGGATTATACAGTTTTTTATAACTGCTTCACATCTGTGTGGCATGGAGTCAACCAACTTGTGGCACCTTTCAGCTGTTATCCATGATTCTTTAACAACATTCCACAATTCATTTACATTTCTTGGTTTTGCTTCAGAAACAGCATTTTTGATATCACCCCACAAGTTCTCGATTGGATTAAGGTCCGGGGATTGGGCTGGCCACTCCATAACATTAATTTTGTTGGTTTGGAACCAAGACTTTGCTCGTTTACTAGTGTGTTTGGGGTCATTGTCTTGTTGAAACAACCATTTCAAGGGCATGTCCTCTTCAGCATAAGGCAACATGACCTCATCAAGTATTTTGACATATGCAAACTGATCCATGAGCCCTGGTATGCGATAAATAGGCCCAACACCATAGTAGGAGAAACATGCCCATATCATGATGCTTGCACCACCATGCTTCACTGTCTTCACTGTGTACTGTGGCTGGAATTCAGAGTTTGGGGGTCGTCTCACAAACTGTCTGTGGCCCTTGGACCCAAAAAGAACAATTTTACTCTCATCAGTCCACAAAATGTTCCTCCATTCAGTCTCAGAGGCTCTGTTAATGCCTAGTACTAACTTTGTAGTCCATGTGGCCCTGCTGACCAGATTATTGCAAACTTCATGAAAACACCCGGACTGGTCTAACCTGCTGTTTGTTATCCTTCAGCGTCATGAGCCCATGATGTGTGCCTGTCTTTTTCCCTGTTTTCCCCTCCATGCTGTATCTTTTCAGGCTTTTCTGTGCCTGGACCATCTGCTGTAGTGGGACTGCTCTCACTCCCATGGCTGTCTGCCCTAATTCCAGATGTTCCGTATCTGGATCTTCATCTTCCAGGAATCTTATCCTGTTCTTTTGTCTCTCCCTTGTATCCCTGTTTGTTGTCATCTCCCTCTATCCCACTGTAGCATTGTTCCTTACTCCAATGTGTTAATGGTGTGCTTGAGTTTGCCTCTAGAATGGTTGTGTAGTCTGTTCTCTTTGTCTCCATGGTGTAGAGGAGGTTGTGTGGCTCAGATCCTGTATGATTGACTGCACATGGAAGTTTCCTGGTGAATCATATCCTTCATACATGCTTATATTCTATCTAGAATTTTATCATAATGATTGTCCACACAATTTTGCACTACTCTTGACACATAATACAGACTGCATGTCTTTCTCTTCTGCCTTTTCCCTATCTGACTGGGGTCATCTAATGACAGAGGATGCAGTGTGCCATGCAAATGTTAAAGTCCCCCGAGGCAAATTTATGATATTGGGCTATATAGACAAAATTGACTTGACTTGACTATATCAGTGTTTCCTGACCATTTTGTCTGATGTTGCTCTGCAGCCCTGTCAGATTAAACAGTTCCATTCCATCATGTTCCAAATACTGTATGTTAATTTAAATACCTTTTAAACTGAAAGTTATTTAACACTAATTATGTAAAAGTGTTTTTGTTCTTACAACTGAATTGCTAGTGTTTGTGTCAGTTTGGCAGTATGCAGAACAAACCAATGATGAATCTGTAGGTGGCTTTGGACCAGCAGATAGATTTAGATGGACATCTAATGGTTAATTTATACTTCTCTGTAAATATGCATAGGCATCAATCTGTACCTGTCAAAGTTCTTCTCTAAGTTGGACTAATTTGCAAAGCATTCTAAGTCTACATGGCCACCTGATGGTTTGTCAGGACAGAAACCTGGCACCACCTGAAAGAAAGAAAGAAAAAGAAACTCAAATTTTATTTGTATAGCGCCAAATCACAACAAACGTTATCTCAGGACACTTTACAAAGTAAGGTCTAGACCTGACTATTATCACTATGATTATAGAGGAAAACCCAACTCACCTTAGTCCAAAACAGCTAGAGCTTGCTTATGCAGTACAATGTTTCATGTTGTATTAGCATAAAGAAATGTTTTTAGTTGAAAAGTAAAGAGGGTGAACTTGTTTTCAGGATGAGCTTTGTGGATTGGAGGTGATGGTGTGGTTAGCTGATAGAACTGTCTTGGTCAGGGTCAATTAAAGAAACCACATTAAACCAAGTGATATCATAGAGACAGAAGAAACAGAAGGGGTGGTAAATGTGTGTGTCCTGGGTGTGTGGTGCCTTTCATTGATTGACAGAGGCAGATGCTGCAACAGCTGAGTCTTAGCACAAATACAGTATAAAGGTTATTGCTATTAATACACATGAGCATACACACACATTGCATCTAAACTCACATCACTGTTGATACTTTTACTTCATGACTTTTCTGTAACCTCAGCACTGCCACTGCTGCTCACCTTTCTCTCAGCCTCTGTCTTTACTATGAATTAAGTGTTTAGTCAGAAACCCTGTGATATCCTCATTAACACCAAGGAGCCAGTGTCACTGGTTCAATCTTCATTGTAGGAGTAATGTGACACCTTCAAGGCCCAGGAGGCATATGACGAAGCGAGAACACATTCTGTATTGGTGTGTGTTTGAGAGGGTGTGTCAGTAACAGGCAGAGGAGCAGAGAAGCTACAGTTATTGTGGAGATAGTCTGAACAGGGAAGATATTCTGAAGCTACAACTTTTGAAATTTCCTCAGTATATTCCATACAGCAGTGGCCACTGCATTTCTGCTGAAGCTATACAGAGATAGCCAGTGACAGTGACTGCACAACAAGAGGAAAGCGAGAAGAAGACACTTGGAAACCTGCTATACAAGGTCAGAGAAGACTGCTGTTTAACTCACCTCTCTGCAGCCACAAGAAAACCCAGCCAAACAGCAGTTGTGTGTTTTAGAAAACAGCTGCATTGTTGAAGCGTGGAAACAAATAAACTGAAGGCTGCCACTAGCTACCGTGCACTAAAGCTACTAGCAGATACATTCAACTGTACTGGGTCAGTGATGTGAATGTAGCTGAATTTCATATGGCTGTGGAATGTAGAGGCCAGCTTTGATTTCAGGCAAATCACTCAGTACAACTATAAGCTGAACATTAACAGCTAACTGAATCCCACTGATAGAAACTATTTTTACTGCCCAGCCAGTAGCTTTGATTTTCTGCAGGATCTGGATTAATCAGCCATCTTTGAAAAACAGTTTGTGTAGATTGATCAGCTCCAACCAGACTTCTAGTAAAGGTGCTTTTCATATTTAAGATCCAGTCAGAGTTGTGGTTCTGGGTTGAGATGTTTCTCAACACAGTGCTGGTGGTCCTGACAGACCTGGCAGCCCAGCTCTTGGGTCACACCATGTTCCGGCAGCACTTCCACCTGTTGCTGTCTGCAGTGGTGATGTTCGGTCCTGCTCTCAACCTCTGGGTCTCCCGCCACAGTATCTTTGCCAAGAGAAGCCACTTCCTCTACAGGTGAGACTGCTTCCTGTTCACTTTTCTATGTTGGACCAGTGGTGCCATTGTGCCATGGAATTGCATCTACCTGTCTCTGACCAAACAGTACTACAATGCAGGTCTGCATCCTGCCTATGTCTGTGTTAAATTTACTAAAAGAATATGACCTCTTACACTTCTACAAACTTTGGTCGATTTGTTTAAACCTGAAGCATACCTGAACATACTTGGCCAATAAATCTGATACTGATTCTGATTTTGAAATGCCGAGTTGGAGCCATTAGTGGATGCTAGTCTTCTGATGGTGTAAGAAAATAAGTTTTACACCAATTTGTCAGTTATTGACAGAGTGGTGTTTCACTACTACACAATTTTCCCTCTCATCACTTCCCCTCTCCTCAAAACTAATGTTTCCCCTAAAACTTTGTTTCTCATCACTCCTCTGCTTCTTCCAGGATGTTCCTGCACTCTGGTTGGGGCTGGACCTGCATCTTTGTTGGCAGCTTTGTTTTCCTCCTCTCCTTTACCATCCGTCGTTCCTTCGCTCTCTCTGTCCGTCACCTCTCCAGGCTCGGAGTGGCTAGTGTACTATGGCTTGTTTTCTGCAAACTCCTGGACCTTCTGGTCAATGCCACAGGAAGCTGTTATGAACCCTTATTCACTGAACCAGAGGTAACCAACGGCCAGCCCCTGTTGGTGTTAAGAGAAGGCGAGAGCAAGTCTGAATGCCTAAAAGCTGGGATGTTGTGGAGAGGTTATGAAGTTTCACAGGATGTTTTCCTACTCTGTCTTTGTTGCCTGCTATTGGCAGAGGAAACAGCCGTGTTTGGTCCTTACCTGAGTTTGGGAGGGATCTCAGATGCTCCTCTAAGGATCCTCTTCCTGTTATGTGTTCTTCTACTCGGGCTCTGGATCTTTCTGCTGCTCTGTCTCTTAGCTTATTTCCCTCAGTTCCCCACCCAGCTACTAGGAGGTGCCCTAGGCTGTCTGAGCTGGAGGGGACTGTATGAGGGGTGGTACCGCCTGGGGCCCAGCTGGTACTGCCCCGGGAGGCCTGGGCTGGGACTGCTTAAGACAAAATCCAGTAGTACTGAAGCTGATGACGCACAACTGAGTCACAACCACTGTAATTAATAAATAAATTATAACCAACTTCAAGGTGTACTGTTTGGAGAGGACTGAAGATTCTGTAACAAAAAAAAAGTCAATTTGGGGCATTTTGGTTGACATTTAACATAAGCAGTTGAAACTTTGAACAATCAAATGGAGAAAACTGGCTTTCAAAATGTATCCACATGGTTTTTTCTATGTCAGTGGGGTCATCAATATACAGTACTTGTTTTCAGTGAGTCACAGTAGATGACATGAAACAAGTCTGAATTTAGGACAAGTTACCTTTTATATGAAGACTGGCAATGTTTTAGAAACTCTGGACTTGAGCCCACAGGTGAGAGTTTGATTTCAATTTAGAGAAAAACTGAAGAGCTGAAATGATTCGATGGATGTGACTTAACATCAAAATTACAATACTAAAAAAGTTAAAATAAATTGGATAATGAAAGACCCCAATATTGTAAAACCCATTAACAAGATATAGCAGTAGTAAGACTGACAGACAATTATCTCTAGCAGTGCCTCGTTTTGCATAAAGACCAGTTTCTGAAAGCATCTTAACAAAAAACAAGTAAGAGACATTGTTTGAGTTTGGTTACATTTTTTATGTGCTTTGTGTCCTAAGACTATTGCCGTGCTTATCAACACATAAAAATGTAATTGTTTAACTTGGTCCTCATTGCAAATCTCCTCCATTTTCATGGAACTATTACATAAAACATCAACTGTGATGTGATGGATTTGCCATTTACAATATTCTCATGTTTCCAAATGAAGAGGAATTTACATGCTGTGTGGAGTAACATTTCATTCTTCACTTCTCTGTAAAGAAAGGAGAGAAGACCAATTTCCTCTGTAACTTGTATTTTTGATAAAACATCTCCAGAAAGAAAACCCTTACAGGCATCAGACAGCAGGGAATTAAAGCTGCCTTGACATGTAGTACCTCACAAAAACATTGCATACAGTTTAAGTATAAGTATTGAAAGGTTGTATCAATTGTCTATTATACAAAACCACAAAGCTGGAAAACAGTGATAAGCCCCATTTCTGGTTGATTTTCTCCATACGTAGATGATGCTAATTAAATAAGATGTAAAGATAATGTTTATCAGAAAAACAAAAAAGAAAAATTCAATCAAAATGAACAAGATAAGACAGACTGATTTATTGTATATACATTAAAAACATGACCACTCTGGACTGAAGTACATGGCAAATGACATTAACGGCATATTATTTATCTATAGTCTTCAGAGGACAATCTCTTTAAGAGTTGGGGCCATATTCAATTTAGCTTTTGCTAGTGTGACTACTTCAGCATTGATCAACAAAAATAAATGACAGTGGTGTAGATTTCTCTGTGGCATTAAACGGTGACTTACAGACACACAACAGTTTGCCATGCTATAACTACTGTGCCTGTCATCAGCAAAGACAACTTCAACACTTTATCCCTACACTTGAAGCGCTACTGTATAGCAAGGTTTAAACTAAACAGCATGGACTACACTGCAATTTCTTTTCTTTTCAACTTCTGATTTCTGACCAACCCTCTGTATGTTACCAATATGGTAAACACTGAAATCAAGTGAATGTTTGCGTATTTGAAGAGGATCAAGTACATTTGTGGTCAGATCCCGTACTGAGACAGTAAGCTGAAGTGGCCTTTATAAGGGGTGAATGTAAGATGACAGGGGAGTAGAAAATCATGAAAAAAATTTAAATATTCCACAGTTACGTGGGAATCAGAAGAGAAGTTATCAAGAGGGTGAAGGGATGGGGGAGTCAACAGAGTTCAGGGGTTCCCAGTGGCAGTTCATCATGGCGTCGTAAAGCTCCTCGCTGCGCTGCATAAAATCCTTGTTCCACTGCTCCACGTCACATTCGGGGATGGGCTCTGCAAAACAGCCCCAAGAAATGACTCCAACACATTGTGACATCAGACCAAACCTGGAGTTGTAGGTGTAGTAAATAATGCCTGTGAGCTACTACAAATTCCAAACTGACCATTCTGGCATGGTCAGAGATCAGATATGAATCACTGTATGTGCAAGTGGCCCATGTCTGATATGAGCATTTCATTTGGTCTGTTCACACTTGCATAAAAAAGAAAATCTGATTTGAGTAACTTCAGCTTGTAATATGACCACAGCTTAAGCATCCATTTTTAACACAATGTTCATGACACAAGCATATAATATATAGTAACAGTGGGAGGAGAAGATTATGTAATAGGAAGCAGGATCTTGCCTTCTGCATTGTCATCCTCTGTATCATCAGTCTCCTCATGACTCTGCTGGGGACACAGGTGAAACTTTTTGTGAAACTGACAATATATGCTAGATGAAAACAAGCAATGTGGCACACAATCATGGTACAAGACAAGAAAACACCTACAGTATGTTGGGGGTTAAAGTTAGAATTTCAACATTTAGAATTTTAGTATTTTGCCATTTCAAGCTTAAAAAAAATATGGTAATCTTAATTAGTGCTTTTATATTCACTAAGTAACCAGGTTAATGAATACTCTGCAGCTTCAGGAAGGTTTCTGCTTTCACTTTTTTCATGTTTTATTGTATAGTAGGTTTAATTTTAAATTAACTAAATTGCTATTTATAAAATGTCAAAGCATTTTTTTAGGCAATGGTGTTAAGAGTTTCCTGTACCTCTACAGCTCCTGACATGTCAGTGGACATTGGTGGCATCCCCAGGGGAGGGGGAGGCATCATGTGGCCTGGTGGAGGGTATCCATAGGGTCCGTAGTTGTAGCTGTAGCCCATGGTGTAGCCACTATTGTAGGCCGCGC